TATATATATCACTTAAATTTTATCATCATTTTATATTATTGAGTACATAGTAAAACATAATAAAAATCCAATAACATATTACATTTCTCCTTCGGTTAATTGAATAGAGCTAATAGTCCCATAAATTTCCATGTAAAATTGAATTCTTAATTAATTTTCCAACCAATTAATTAAGTAATTGAAGGCATGTAGCTATATATTCTATAAAATCTATATATAGAAAACATCATAAGAATGTTGTAATAATGTCATTTATTATAAGTGTTTTATTTTAAAATAAAAGGATATCTATAAAAAATTTAGAATTTTCTTTTTATAGATAAAAATTTTGTACAAGCACTTCCCATTCCATAACCAAGTCCAGAATTTTTGTGCAATTTGATTGAATGTGTATACAAGAGAGAGTGGTTGAGACATGAAAGAATAAATAACCGAAACGTATGAAAAACTTTAGTAGGTAGGTAGGGTTCTTTACGCCATCATAGTTCATGCAATATGAGAAGTTATTGGTTAATTTTGGGACACCATCATGTGCTGTCCCAATAATATTATAATTGGTAATAGAGACGAGGCCTACGAATTTATGTTGGGTAATTAAAAAATATAAAAAAATATAAAAATTTGTGATTAATGAAAGATACTATCACATGACGCCCTAGAAACACTAAATAATTTTTCCATACAATATTCTCCTCCCAGATATATAAAGGGATTTTTATTGATAAGTCCAATTTAGAAGTGTTTTAACCCAAGAAGTCCATGAAGGAATTTTTTAACCCATTTAGTCCCATGTATGTATAGTTTTATTCCATAAAGTCCATTTTCTTGATTTACACTATTTTCTTGGACACTTATGCCCTTATATTTAATTTTGATACCTTTATAAATATTTTTTGAACGATTAGCAATTTAATGATGTGAACATTCATATTTTAAAATTCACATTGGTAGGAATGTAAAATTGGCCCGTAGACGGCCCGAAACCCGGCCGCGAGTAGGGGCGGGCCCGGCCCGTTGACAATGTGAATATTCACATTGACATATTAACATTCACATTAATAGAAGTGTAAAATTGACCCCCGTCCCGTGGCGGCGCAAAACCCGCCCACGACCCATGGCCGGCCCGGGGCGGTCCTGGTCTGGCCCGTCGACAATGTGAATATTCACATTGACATATTAACATTCACATTGATAAGAGCATAAAATTGGGCCGCGGCCCATGGGCGGCCAAAAGCCCGCCCGTGGCCCGGGGCGGGGCCCGGCCCGGCCCGTTGACAATGTGAATATTCACATTGACATGTTAACATTCACATTGATAAGAGCATAAAATTGGGCCGCGGCCCATGGGCGGCCAAAAGCCCGCCCGCAGCCTGGGGCAGGCTCGGCCTGGCCCATTGACAATGTGAATATTCACATCGACAATGTGAATATTCACATTGACATGTTAACATTCACATTACTAGGAGTGTAAAATTGGCCCGCAGCCCGTGGGCGGCCCGAAGCCCGACCGCAGCCCGAGGCGGGCTTGGCCCGACCCGTGACAATGTGAATATTCACATTGACATGA